TGCCTGAATTCTAGCACAGGCTCATGTGCTTGCTCAAAAATGAGAAATTATAATACAGTATCTAACTGTATTCTCCCTCCTCACATCGTTGCCCCCATGTCTAGCTGTCCTAGCAGTTCATGGCTGTATGGCAAGGCCCTCAGACCACAAACCTAGCTCACCATGCAGAGCTGACCGACCAGTGGGTGAGTTTTCGTCTCACCCATGGCTGAAAATCTTTTGCAGCATTTTCAGAAGAACACCAGCTCTGAGGCTGTGCAGCACTGCTGCACTATGCGGATGCTTCAGAAGTCATTAGGAGCTCCTGCAGGGACAGCTCAAGGTTTATAGGAAGCATAAGCAAAATTGAATTTTGCTGTCCTGGGGTGGAGCAGTCTGCTTTGTATGGAGGAAGAAAGAAGGGGAGAGCTTGGAGGTGAAAGGTGGAGGCAGGGCAGAGCCCTGTGTGCTGCTTTTGCAGCTCCAAGGGAGAGTGATGGGCTGGAGGTATCACCTGCCATGCACATCCTTCCTCCTGGAGCCCTGCACCCTGATGGCTTTTCCCTCCTCTTATGACTGAATTCCAGATGTAGGTAGAGGTGGTTGCCCAGAGTCTTCACCAGATCCAGTCATCCAATGCTAAACCTGCCTTAGGAAGAGCTTTATTCTTAACATCTGATATTGGAATTAAAGACAACATCTGAGCAATGTGTTTTCCTCCCTCATCTCCTCTGATCTCGAACTACTCTTTCCAGTTGTGTGTAAGACATTTTGTGCTGCAGTTTTCTGCTTGAGGCTTTAATAATATTCAAAGAAGAAGTAATTCAGTCACCTTTCTCCATTTCTCATATTTCTCCTAGCATGCCTCTAAAATGTGATGGGTTTTGAAGAAAGTCTGCTCTGCTGCATGCCTGAAGAGCATTTGGGTGTTCTTCCTTCAGTAACCTCTTCATTCCCTCCTACATACATTCCCATTCCTTCATGATATTAGTGGAAGAAACCCCAGTGTGTTCCAGATGTTGAGTGATCAAATGGTATCAAAGAGTTTAGATAAGTACTTGCTGCTCGGGGGTGGTGAGGAGGGAGAAACTCAAAACTTTCCATTTTCAGAGACACACTGCTGGTCCCTGCTGTGCTGTTCACAGCTTCCCAATTTGAATCCAGAGTTGTGAAAATGTGGAAACTGTGAAAATATGAGCTGCGAACACTGGGAAGCTGTGAAGCGGGGAATGGGTGGGGATTTACAATCTCTCTTGAATGCAAAGGTTATAGATTCTGGTTGAAAACTTCATTCTCTAAGACGTTTTTGTCACTGCAACAGGAAGAGAAACAGCAACCAAGGTTGCAGAATTGTCTCAGTTGTAAAAACCTTTAATTTCTTTGCTCATAACTTTATGGCATTTTTGTATTTGAGATAGACTTTTCAGGCCTGGCCTCTGCCAGAAGGCAAAGTTCCTTTGAGCAAAGGCAGTTGTCTTGTTTCTGAGCCTGGAAGTGAGAGACAATAATGATAATAAAGCAGACTCCCATTTCATTTTATTTTTCTTTTGAATACTTTGCAGCAAGAGTGTGAAAGGTGATGTTTCATGTAGGAGTGGCTTCAGCTGAGGACCTGTGCCTTGCATTGGGCCAGGGGAAATTGAGTTTGATTTGTCTGAAGTCCTGGTGTTGGAAAGTCACCCAGTGGCTTGGCAGTGTTGTGAATCCCTTGGCTGGCAATGGTGAGGAAGGACTCACCTGTTCAAAGACCCTGCATATCCTTAATCTATGACACATGTCTGAATGCATTGAACGGTTAGATACTAGCAGGCAGGGAGTGTTAAGGAGAAGATGCAGGGTTAGTTGAGATCTTGGCTGACATTGTGCCAAGGACCAGGGCAGTTAGCACAAGTTTCTGTGCATCCCTCTTGACAAATGTCACTTCTTTGTGCCTTCTAATGCTGCAAAATGGACATTTAAATTCCTTGCCAGGTCAGCCATTCGTCACAAACACATTTAGACTTAATTGCTAATTAATTTTCTCTAGCTAATGCAGATTATTTTTTTCCTTCAGTGTGTGAAATCTAGAAGAACTTTCTGAGAACCAGCCACAAACGAGTTGGCTGTAATTGGTGTTCTCTCACTTGGGTGAGAAGTAACAGTTTATCAGCCCTTAATTAGCTTGGACTTTTTTTTGAGAGTAGTTTCCAATTTTTTGACAGGAATATATACGTCTTGTTTCTCCTGTAGCAATACAAAGAAAGTCATTTTACCTTGAACTGACAAATTGTGCTGTGTTTGTTGGTGTTTTCTTCCTCCTGATTGTGAGTGCAAAGCTGCATGTCGTACCTGGATTGCTGTGCAATTTGTTCAGTTAGTGTCTCTTGTCACAGAGAAAAGAACACTGATTATACAAGAAAGAGAGTTTGAGCTCAGTTTAATTAAATTGTGAATAGGCAACCTGCAGTGTTTGGAGTGAAACATTAAGATACAGAGCAGCTTTTAGATACCTCATCAGCATCAGAGAAACTTACAAAGGTAGTTTTTTGTGTCTGTTGGAGGTGAGTCCCATTTCTGCTCGTTGTACAGGTAGGAAGGCTGTGATAACAGAAAAATGAAGCCACCTCAGATTAGTCAGATCCAGAAAAATATCCTGCCAGGACAAACCATCTGCCTGGCAGTCATCTGCTTGGCTTGTGAGTCCTGGGGTGAGCCTCTTAGGGAGATACTGCAGGGAAAGGTGCCCATGCAACAAGGCAAGGTGACACTGCAGCAGGATGAGCCCTCAGTCAGTGCCAGAGTGGTGGGTGAGCTCAGGGCTGTGACTGCCCAGACATTGCCTTGCCCCACTGAGATCTCCTCAGCCCAGGCTAGTGTATGACACCAGGGCATGAGAGAAATGCTGGATGAGAAGCTCACAGAGGAATTCATCCTCTTGGAGCCTCTCACCTGTTGATGGAGTAGGCAGAATTTCCCAGAAGTAGGTGCACACAGCTGCTGTGCTGGGGACAGAGCCGTGGCTCTAAGGGAGGCACCTGAGCACTTTGCAGCAGCAGAGTGGTCTATGAGGAGGACAGAGAATCAGGGTTACCAAAGTGGGTGCTAGGTATGAAACAGGAACACTTGCCAAGATTATTCTACCCTGGGAGAGAGCTCCAGTCTGGCAGCTGGGGCAGGAGACTGGGAGTTGGGACCTGGGGAGAGGGCAGGGCTCGAGTCAGCCTTTGTCTTGAGATTCCAGGGGAAAGGCCTTGATAAAGCTGTGCTAGGATGGCACATGCTGCAGCAGCTCTTATTAAACTGAAGTCCTTTAGCAAAGTACTTGTTGATGGGATCAGCTTTTGTCTTTTCCTGTTAAGAACCCCCGTTACAAGGTCATTTCATAGGTGGCTTAGGTGCCCTGCCAGCCTGGTGTCTGTGGGGCAGAGGTAGAAACACATGCAGATCAGTCATTTGTGGCTGGAGATACAAGCTGCCAACCAGGGCAGGTTGAATAAGAACAATTTTCTTCCAAAAGTGCACTTGAAAACAAGGTTTTGTTTTCTGAAGAAGTGATTAAACCAGGCTTCTGCTAAGACCTAGTTTGCTTACAATCTTTTAAAAGCACTGAAATCAAATTTAAAACAATCGTGTGCTTAAGCAGCACATGATTGTGGCTGGAGGAGGTCAGGCTTTGTTAAAATGGTACAAGAAGTTTCAGTATTAGCAGCTGTGGTGCAGATGCAGAGGGTCTTTTCATTTGGTTGATCCACTTGTTGAGATTGAGCTTCATTCAAATCTGAGAAGCCAATGAGAGATAATTAATGCAGGAAAGCTTGTATGGCCCTACCAGTCTGTGAATATAAACAAGACCCATGGAACTGAGCTTCACTAGTTCTACAGTTTTAGAGGTTTTTAATTGTAGTCAGTGCCATTCCCTCAAAAAATACTTTGTTCAATAAAGCTTTGTACATGCAATATGCATTTTTCAGAAGCTTTTAATTCTTTTCTTCACTAGCACAGTGAAGTTAATTTATATACCTAAATACATGCTGTTTGATTTTAATTGAATAACACTTTCTCTCCAGCTAGAGCTTATCATGCATCACCGAAACAAAAAAATAGAAATTTAGATTTAAAGAATAGTATAATCAGGTTTGCTTCAAAAAGGCCCTAAAAAGAACAAAGGTAATTGCAATTAAAATTATTATTTAAATTATTTTTGCTCTCACTGACTTAAATGATGATTAAAGTTGCTTATGTAAATCAATAAATTGAATCAGACTGGTCCTGCTATGAGTTCCCCACTGTGCAGTCTCAGCCTGAAGGTAGTTGGCAGTCGAGAGGACAGAAATACCTGAGGATGCTGGTGAGGGAGGAGTCAAACCTGTCATCTTTACTCTGCTCTATGTAGCAAGAGAGTCGTGTTTCTGTCACATCTGTGACCACTGAGCCGAGGGGGTAAAACCATTTAGTTAGTTAGACTGGAACAAAAGCAGGATGCACATCCAAGTCAAAGAATGGGATGAGAACCTTGGACATGATAATGTTGGCCTCAGTTCAAAAACACTTGAGTACAGCCCTGTTTTCAAATACACACCAAGATGTGCCTGTTCTTGTCGCAGCACGAGGGACTTCGGCACGTGCTTTGCAGGCTGTGCCTCACTGCCAGGCTGGCTGCCTTGGCCAGGGCTGACTGGGACATCCCTGGGGAGGGCTGGCACTCACCAGGGCTGTGGAAACAATGTGTGGCAAGTTGTGGTATGTGTAAGCAATGCCAGTTGTAAAAGAAAACCTGTAAGTAACACTATGACACCTTATGCTCTCAGAGAAGAAACTCAGTTTTGGGTTATGGGGAGGCTGCCAGAGGAGGTGGAAAGTCCCAGTCCATCTTCTCAGCTAAGGCTCAAGTCCAAGAGTATGGGTAAGGTTGATTGGAGGAAAAGCTCTGTTAGGGCCCTTCTGTTTTCTCAGGGTATTCACTTGTGCTGCCAAACAACACAGCCTGTTGGATTCCAGCTTGTCCAACTGATACATCACCTCTCCTTTTTCTTGTCTTTCAGGTTATTTCCAAGATTTGTTGAACAAGTCAGAAAAAGCCCTTTACGATGCTTTTCCAAGCGTGTATGGAGAATTGTACACTCAAAATATGAAGGTCTTCAAGGACTTGTACAGCGAGTTACGCCGCTACTACCGGAGCTCCAACATCAACTTGGAAGAGGCCCTCAACGAGTTCTGGACACGCTTGCTGGAGCGACTCTTCAAGCTGATGAATCCCCAGTACCATATCACAGATGAGTACCTGGACTGCATGGTGAAACACGCGGAGCAGCACAAACCCTTCGGGGAAGTTCCCAGGGACCTGAAGGTGAAGGCAACCCGAGCCTTCATCGCAGCACGCTCCTACGCCCAGGGCTTCCTCGTGGGCAGTGACGTGGTCAAAAAGGTGTCTCAGGTATGTTGGGGATCTCCCTTCTCCATCCTCAGGTTGGCAGGAGCCAGGCAACTACTGCTGTTGGGGAGGAGGGTTTATTCCCCCTTATGTTCTCATTACAAAGCAAGCAGGTACTTTTCAGTTTTATAAAACAAGCTACTTGAGGGTCACCCATCAGAGGAAGGGAGCAGCGAGCCTGGACTCCTGCAGGCACTGACAGCACAGAGACAGTGAGATGTGGTTCACCACAGATCAGTCTTTACCTCATTTTAACCTATGCAGCAGAGTGCCAAGGAGCTGTCAGTCACCCAGGCTGTAAAGCCATTCCATTGCTTGTCTCGATTTCTCGTGCTTCCCCAACAGGGAAACACTGTGCCTCTGAATCACGCTGCCGTGTTATCCTCCTTGATGGTGATATGCTGTATGGTGTGCAGAGCTGGATTGCCATGAGTGTGCTGGGAGTATACACAGAAGGATGTGTTTCGGTGGTTGGTGATGGCACCGCTGTTGTGTGTTTATGGAGCAGTGTCTATTTGTACAGGCTCTGTGTACAGACAGGGGGTGTTTGTAAAGTGCATTGGGATCTTCAGGGATGAAAGGTGCTATATAAATGTAAATTAACATGACTGAGTCCAGGGTTCTAGAAGGAAGGAAATTGTCTGTATTCTTTACTGCAGAAGCAGCTTTTCAGAGCCAGAAGAAAGTGATTGTCCTGAAACAGGATATTCAGGCTTTTCACACAGGTAGCGAGGAGAAAATCCATACTGAAAAATGACTTACATTCTGCATGTGGAGGTGGAAATCAGCAGTTGTGAGAGTCAGGGTGTGATTAAAGTGTGAATGTAAAAATCCAGAATCACAAGGCATTTCCTCGGGAGGTAATACGTGGTGCTGCCTAGCAGAGGACAGCACCACTTAACACAGCAAATCCAGACTTTGATCTTGGGAAGAAACATTAATGTGGTAACAGTGACAAATGGTATAATTTATCAATGTGGGACTATAAAACTGTTCAGCTACCCAAAAGCCTTTGTACATCTCATTAACATCACACTCTCCTGCCACTTAAGACAGATAAAAGAGGAGAATAATGTAATTTCAGGGGGACAAAAGTAAAATACTTTTCATAAATCCTCTGAATGGCTGAGATTTCCACCTCGATGGGCGTGATCCTGCCTGTAGCTGAGACTGGGGGTAAAGCAGGCTGGCAGGGCAGCTGAGGTATGGTATCAGCTGAAGGGAAGGACCTGAGATACCAACATGCACCATATTTTTCCCCCACCTTCATGTAGGCATCTGACCCACTGGATTTTGATTCCAGTCCCCCTGTTCTGAATTCTCCTTCTCTTGGGCATCACTTATCAAACAGGATATAGGGAACATGACAAGTCACAGATCCTCCTCTTCCATCAGCCTCCCTGCAGCCCAGTCCTTCAGGATGGAGGCTCTTCTAGAAGGGTCCCAACCATTCCTCTCTCACAGGAGCCTTCGCTGGGTTTGCAGTTAACCTGGTGTGTTGCTGTTGTAGCACAATCTGCATGAATTGAGTCAGGAAACATCAGCATAGCCTTCCTGAGAGCTGACTTTGTAATGAGGACCAAAACCAGTCCATTTCCCCTGTCTTCAGGATTGGGTTTAGTACTTTAGGCAAGAGAGTCTGAGAGTATCGAGGAGGGAAGTTCATATTATGGATGCACTGGAGCCCTGAGCTGTGTCTCAAACAAAAGGCCTGGCTTACCCACTTTCCTTTATCAGTGTGGATTTACACTTGTGTCGTACAGATGTGAAGTGCTAGACTCAACCCACAACTGGTGCTTTGGTATTACACATTTTTCATGTTGCTTTATACTTACAACATTAGAAGAAAGCGTCTACGATTTTTGTTAAGGTCAGAAACTAGGATTCAGTTTTCCTGTCAGCTGGTAGCAGCAGTCTTTAAAACTAGCTCTGAGCTGAAATTTCATATGGAGCACTCCTTGTTTCAGCTTCTCGGACACTTCCAGTTCAGTGTATCCTGCCACTGTTTCAGGTTCTTGTGCAGAGTCAGCATTCCTGGGCACTTTAGAGAAGGACTGATGCTATTAGCCTGATTTCCTGGCTGTCTTAAAGTGGGGAAGACTCTGCCCCAACTGAGCTCCAGGCATGGATCCCTGCTGCCTCTCCACTGTGCCCAAGGGGTGTTTCTTCCCCAGCCTTCAGCTGCCCTGATCTCAGAGGAAGCTGTTGCTTCAGGCAGCCCTTGGCCAGTGGCTGGTAGGCACACAGGGGTAGGACTGGGAGCCATGTGGTGGGAGCAGCCCTCTGAGTCCTGCTGTGTATAATTAGTTTGAGGGCAGCTGGGGAGAAAATGGCAAACCCATTTTTCATCTTTACTGCCGTCCAAGCTTTTAAGGCAACGGTCACCCTGACAGGCTGCAGGCTCTGGCACCAAGTTCTACAACTTTTGATGCTGTGGTTGCTGCCATCAACCTGCCCCAGCACTGACAGCAGTGGAAGCACTGCCATCTGGGCTGGGACCTGGGGCACATGTGTGGTTGGTGCCCAGGTGGTGTGTCAGGGCTGGGCATCAATGTGCAGGCTGGCATCCTGCCCTGCCACGGCGAGAGGTTACGATGGGCCACACGTGGGTGGGGTGTTGGGGCAGCATCTCTGTGTTCACACACAGGTTCTGTGTTTCTGTAGCTGTGCTTTCAGCACAACTTGCAGGTTTTCATTTAAGTTGCACAATGCCAAGTGTGTTTTTCATCACCTGCGTCAAGTAGCAGCTACCAGAACAGCAGCAGCCACAAAATCCCCAGTGAAGGGCACTCAGAGAAGGGCTCCCCTAGGGATGCCACCTCATACTGCGTGCCAAGGCAAGAGAAAACAAATATCCCAGCCCTGTTCAGGATCTGTTCATTGGTTGTGAGACTGGCAGCTGCCCAAAACCAGCGTTTGCTCCAACTCCAAGCTTCTTATGAACAGGAGAAGTCCTTGTCCTGGGAGACTTGCTGCCTGCCAGCTGCTGCTCAGAGATCCACACTGGTGCAAGCAGTTGCTGTGCCCAGCAGTGAGAGCAAGAATGCCTTCCTGGGAAATGCGTGGTGGAGGTGAACTGAATTGCTGCAGGGCTGGGAGGGAGAAAACTGGGATGGTAGAAATGGCAAGGGCTGAGAGATAACCCCTTACAAAACAAACCCAGGAAATCTTCAGGGAGGCACAATATGATAAACAGGAATTCCCTGGCTGCTTTTGTTACTGCTTGTGTTGTGATACTGCTCAGGCATGTAAGCCTTAGGTCAGGAGTGCTGCACAGAGTGCCCTGAGGACAGACAGCAGAGGTGATCCTGTCTGCACCAAGACACACAGAAAGGGCAGTGAGACTGCACATCAACGTCCACAGCGCTCAAATTCCCTTTGGAGCTCTGGCAACCTGTAGATGTCAGGGGAGAGCAGGGAGAAAGGAAAGAAGTATGTTCCATCTCCAAAGACAGGGAGAGGAAGTAGTTTGAAATTAACTTTGCTCATCTGTCAGAAAATGAGTTATTATGACAATCTTTCCTTTTCTGGGTCTTTGTTCATTCTTGTTTCTAAATTTTATGTTTCCCAAGGTAGGGGAGATTGATGTGAAGCAACACCAGCTACGTAGGCGAGAAACACTTACTCAAATAATCAATTTTAATAGTTGTTTGCATTTCCTTTTCTCGGTTCTTAAGGCTGATTCTCATTTGAGTTTGAAACAAAATGTAATTTTTTATAAGCTTTTTCACTAAATCCTGTATTTCATTTTACCAATGAAAGTTGAAGTTTATTAGTATATTTTCATTTAAGCAATGCTGTGGCTCACAATACGTTTCAGCCTTATTTTTAAAACTTTTCTGTCAGTATAAGGTAAATGGCAGCTTTCCTATTTACCATATGCAGGATTTTTAAACACATGGTGGGTCAAGCTGCATTTGAATGGGAACTGAATTCCAATTAAAAAGGCCCAAAAATAGAACTGTTATAAATGTTTTTAATGGTTAAGTGAGTGTGCTGAACACATATGGAAAATAATGTTTAGATAAACATGCTTTACATTTCCAACAAGTCAGTAACATAACAAAGACAGTGTGGTCAATCCTGGTGCTAATGCCCTTTAAGACTGCAGCCATTTTTCATATCCACTTTTTACCATGCCTTGAAAGGACAGAGTTGACTTCTGTCTTTCAGCTTCCAGTTGCTTTATTGGTGAAGTAGACATAAAATTGATCTTACTGAACAAAATGAAGAATATAATCTTTTTCCCACACTTATGACACCACTGTGCTAAAATGTCTCAAGTGCAGTGAACTGCTGTCCCTGAGCCAGCAGCCAGCTCAGTGGTAGATCTCCATCCTTTCAGTGGCTGATCTTTTCTCACAGCATCAGCAGCAAGTACATACAACCACAAATAATATTTTATTTCATTTAAAATATTTCACTTTTGTAGCAAAATTAAGAATTTATCCAAATTGGCCTTCTCTTGATCCTGAAAATACAGTATTAGTGTTTGCAAATAAATGTTTTGAGAGTGTTGTTCCATGGCTCTGTTGAGTGGCAATTTCCTCTTTTTCACTGGATGTTATCCCACCTCTTGTTTTGGAGTTGTCCAGTTTTTGCATGGCAGAGGTTCTTGTGTCCTGCCAAATCTCTATGTGGGGGACAAGCAGCAGAGGGCAGCAGGTCCCAGAGGTGCTGGTGTCACCAGCAGGGATGGGAGGTGGGATGCAGCTCACCACAGCCAGGGACAAACAGCAACTGCTGGAGCAGGCTGGGGGTTTTCTTGTTTTTCCTTTCTGTTATTGCAAACCACTGATGAGGCTTCCTGAAAATGAGCTGGTTAGTGTGTGTGCTAAAAGTTTGTGCTGCAGCAGACCAAGCAGGAATTTACAGGGTGCAAAGTGCCACAAGCACTCTTTGCAGGACTGACTGTGCTCAGGAGGAGGATGAGAGGCACTGAAGTCCTAGAGCTGAGAACCCTGCAATACTTCAGGCTCCCCTGCCTGTGAGCACCATCTGAG